CATGATCAGGGGACAGCAGGGCAGGCCCTATGAGGAGAGGCTACGGGACCTGAACCTGTTCAGCCTCCAAAAGAGAAGGCTGAGGGGGGGATCTTGTGGCCTGTTATAAACTAGTCAGGGGGGATCAGCAGGCATTGGGGGAGTCACTGTTCCCCTGAGCACTGCCAGGAGTGACCAGGAATAACGGTCACAAGCTGGCAGAAGGTAGGTTTAGGTTAGACATCAGGAGGCGCTACTTCACAGTCAGGGTGGCTAGGGTCTGGAACCAACTTCCAAGAGAAGTGGTGCAGGCTCCTACCCTGGGGGTTTAAGAGGAGGCTGGATGAACACCTTGCTGGGGTCATTTGACCCCAGTACTCTTTCCTGCCATGGCAGGGGGTAGGACTAGATGATCTACTCAGGTCCCTTCCGACCCTAGAAACTATGAAACCTCCACCTTCAGCTCTAGCATGGGGCATTTGATAGGGGTCAGCAGCCTGAAAGGTAGGGCTGTGACAGTGTGGACAAAGTGGCTATAGGGCAACCAGGGCTGTCAGACCTCACGTATGCTCCTGCTACTGGGGCCCAGGTACCCTGGGTTCTGCGTTGAGCAACTCCCCCAGCCACACTAGTAATCTGGCAGGCTGGACAGAGCAGCTCTGTGGGTTAGATCTGGCCCACAGGTTATATGTTTGACACCTTTGTGCTGCTGCTGCTTTCAGTGTACCTGCAAGCTTCAAAGAGAGAAAAAAACCATTCAGGTTTATTCCATTTTCTGTAGCTTGTTTTTTTTTTTAAGAAACTTGCCATTGTTAATGGCATCCTGAATCTTTGTAAGAAAAAATTAGGTTGCTAGAATATTTTCATCACATAGGATCTTGTATTTTACACACTTTAAGACAGATTCCAGTAATAATCATCATTTTGTTTCAGGTTACAAAGTGGCGCCATAATGTGATACCAATTTGTTGTATAAAAGAATATTAAGGAATGAGAAGTATGTAACATCATTTAGAATTCTGGTTTTAAAAAAGACTGCAATTCAGGTAGGGTGTTCAAAGGTTTTTGTAAATCTGAAAACACTCATGAACTGGTCTGCAGGTGTTGGTGTCTTTGTAACTCCAAATAAAGCTACTCTGATTCCCAGGTTTGCTTACCTGTATTATAAATAGGCACAGAAATCAATAAGATGTCACAAATGCATGGCTGGATACTCTATATGCAGATCTGAACATAAAAGCAGATGCCCTTTAGTTATAGTCAGATGGTTTCCTTCAAATTCATTCCCAGACTATGCCCTCCCAGTTCTCAAAGATACACAATTTTATAAAACAAAACTTAATTTCTCCATTAAGAAAGTTATAAAGCTATATGGATCCTTATTTATAAGTCTGTTTATCTATGGTGGTCTTTATATTGCAGGATCATTACAGTTTCTAGCAAAGAAATCAAACCTAGGTATTCACAGTGGGGGGAGGCCAGGAAACCGCAACAAACATTTAAAATAGGGATTTTAAACTTGTGGAAGGATTTGGGTTCTGAGCAGACTTGGGCCAGCCTGTCTTCTCTTCAAGATCTTGTTCTCCTGATAAATGGCATGGTGATATGTGAAAACTCTTTGAAGTTTTCATTTCAGAAGACAGTTTGAGAAAGAAATAACAGGAGTAGTCTAAAGATGGTGATAATTCATCTTCACTGAAATGGAGGTCATCCAAGTTTTAAAGTGTAGGCTTCTTCAAAAGTTTCATCTTCAGTAACAACCTCACACCTAATCTTGCATTCTTTCTCGTCTTCTTTAGTTTTAAAATTTACAGAAGAAGTAAAACCAGGCTTATCCTCATAGTCTGTGTTCTCTATTCCTCCTTCAATAGGATATCTTCCTTTATACCACGAAACATAAGTGTTGTCTGTATTTATTCCATATATAAAACATTGAAGTGTTACATTCTCACCAGCCTTTGGGTTGTTGGTAAGGCACTGTATTTTCAGGGTAGGAGCTCTTTCCAGACTAGAGGATCTAGGGTCTGGATTAAAACAGAATTGACAGATAACGGGATCATAAATGAAACCCTTGGCAATAAATCCTATTAATTAATCGGCCACTCTCACTAATTAGATTGTGTTCTATTGGTAGGGTTTGTAAATTTTTAACAATTCTATTTCTTCTTGTTTACATATCACTGATACTTTTCAAAGGCACTTAAATAAACAAAAGACAAAATGGTGTTGGCCAAAAGTGCCCAGATTCCCCTTGTTGAGTTCTGGTGGGTACATCGGAAGCCAAGACCATCCATATGGAAGCTCGTTGTGTTCAGATTTCTTCTCTCGTCTCTGCAGGCCCTGTCAACTGCCCTGCCCATCGTGGACCCCAGAACTGTTTATTGCCATCTTTGAGGGATTTCTGTAGCCAAAAGGGCTATTTGTCATGGTGGTATCAAATGTTTGTCCTGATTCTTTACATGCAGTCTAGATGATGAAACGTGTACACATCTGACCTGCCCCACTCCCTCCTTACACACAGATCACAGGTCCTCTTGTGGGGAAAGAGAAGAGATGTTGCCACACAGACAGTGTTGCCTCCTGTCATGCCCCACAAAAGTCTTTCCTTCCACTGTGCCTTAGAAAGTTAAAACAGTGCTCTAGACCAGTGAGGGCCAGATTTTTTGGGTGGGCTTGCCACAAATTACCCCTGTATCCACCCCAGGTGTCCCTCTGATCCCTTACCCTGCTCAATCTGCTGCTCAGCTTTCTGCTCCTAGCCCTGTGCTCCCTGCCTGATTTGCTGCTCTGCTTTCTGCTTCCTGCCCTAGCTGGA